AAATAGGAGCAAAGTAGGTCTGAATTTCATTACTACTCAGGGACTTTAAAGGGTTAAGAATGTACCAGAGATGTTTCTCTAGCTAAGACCACTTTATTCTGTTGAAAACTTTCTGATTGTTGGAAAACACTGAAAAAGATGACTGCATCAGACCCAGAGATTCGCAATTTAACTTTGGCTGCTGTTGGCTGGACTCATCTTTACTTGAACAAAATGCAGGTGCTAGTGTCTATGATACTCAGTAATGTCCTCCAAGATGATATCTAGTTGATACAACGTCATTGAGCCCAGATTAAACAGAAATTGTTTCTTCCTGTGTGATTGATATCTAATGAATTAATAACATATGGGGAAAAGAAAATTATTTATTATAAATATGGAAATGACAATCTGTATTATTCAAATGAATTATCCTGTGACCTGTTACAATGTTCATATTTCTCTAATGGTACAGCCTCTTATTCCCCTTTCATGTATATATGCTGAATGTTGGGTGAAAAATGATCTCTCTCTCATTTCTGATTTCTCAGAGCCTCTACCATGTTAGGCACAGAGAGATAAAAATTAAAAGTATGTTGTGAAACATTGAATAGAACTTTGCTTCATTCACAGGTTCTGTCCATGCTCAAGCAGGGTCTCAGCACAGTGATGTTCTCCTGTCTGTACCTTAAATCTACTAAAAAAAATGTCCCTAAGAGCAGGAGACGATATTGAGCAGCTCTTGTTTGTGTCTACGGCATGGACACAGAAGCTCCATACTTTCTCTCAACAGCATCTTCTGTTGAAAGGAAGTAACAGGAGGAGGAGAATGTGAGGGTGGGAAGGATGGAGGAATGAGATGGACATTATTACCCTATGTACATGTATGATTGCATGAGTTGTGTGATTCTGCATCATGTACAGCCAGAGAAATGAGAAGTTGTGCTCCATTTGTGTACAATGAATTACTCAACATCAATGGCAGAGATGTTCATGAACCTAGTAAACGTGAAACAGGAACAGAGGGAAGTGAGAGGAGACCCTTAGACTTGGTCTGAGACACACTTCAGATTTTCACATTATTCCAATGCTGCAGTAGATCAATTGTGGTTTTTTTTGTTTGTTTTGTTTTGTTTAAGAACTGAATGTGTAATTAAAAAAAAAAACCTTAATGACCAAATAAATGTCACTTAAGTGTATACTTATTATGGTGCAATAGTAATTTTTATTATTTATAATTTATCCTAATAAAAATGGAACTTAAAAAAAAAAAAACAGAGAAGTGGTTCCATTCCAAGTTTTCTAAGAAATATCCATACTGTTTTCCAGAGTGGTGCCACCATTTGCAGTCCCATCAGCAATGTATGAATGAGCCTTTTTCCCCCACATCTTCTATTTGTAGATTGTTTGAATTCACATGCAAAGTCTTCCCATGGCATACGTATCACACAATTTTATTTTAGAGAACAGAAATGAGAAAGTTCATGTAACTTGGGCTAGGTATTCAGATTGAATAACTGAAGCCATATTTGAAATGCTGTGTGGATTTGAGGAACATGGATCTTGATAATTGCCATTCTGACCAGAGTGAGATGAAATCTTAGAGTACTTTTGATTTGCATTTCCCTAATTGCTAAAAATGTTGAACATTTTTTCATATATTTGTTGATCAATTGTATATCTTCTTCTGTGAATTGTCTGTTCAGTTTCTCAGTCCATTTATTGATTGAGTTATTTGTTTTTTGGTGTTAAGTTATTGATGTGGAACCACCATTTGACCCAGCTATCCCACACCTTGGTCTATACCCAAAGGACCTGAAGTCAGCATTCTACAGAGACACAGCCACATCAATGTTTAAGGTAGCTCAATTCACAATAACTAAACTATGGAACCAACCTAGATGCCCTTCAATAGATGAATGGATAAAGAAAACGTGATATATACACAATGAAATTCAGCCTAACAGGGAAGTAGAGTATATCACATGAAGTGAAATAAGCCAATCTCAAAAAAACAAAGTCCAAATTTTTTCTCTGATATGCAGAAGCTAATCCATAGTGGGTGGTGAGTAGGGGAGAATGGAGGAACTTTGGACTGGGCATAAGAGTAACGGGAGGAGGGGAGTGTGAGGATGGGAAAAATGGTGGAATGAGATGGACATTATTACCCTATGTACATGTATGATTGCAAGAGTTGTGTGATTCTGTGTCATGAACATCCAGTGAAATGAGAAGTTGTGCTCAGTTTGTGTACAATTAATTAATTGAAATGCATTCTGCTTTCATGTATAACCAGTTAGAACAAATTTAAAATAAAGAAAAAAAATAGAAGTGTTTAAAAAACATAAAATGAAAGAAGTAATTGATTATGCAAGGTTCTTACTAATTAAAGATAGGGTCCAAATCTTAAGTGGATCTTTATTTTCTCTTCTTCATCTTTCTGCATTAATGTTGGGAAGTCCTTAGAGATGGGCATTGCATGGACCAATTAGTCTAATTTTGAGCTCTGTGGATTGAGCTTCCAAGGTCCTATATTAATCCACATTCAGTCTGTGCCTGCAGCCCTTCCACTGAGAGTTCTTGTCCAGTGAGCTGTGTGGCTGTGTCCCCTGCTGTGGTTCAGCATCAGGAAGCTCCCAGCTAACAGCATATTCCTGGGAATGCTGGGCACAGAGTCTGATCCTTTGTTGGGCACCAGGTATGGGTGGGTCTTGGTATGTGCAATCCTTATCATTACCCAGCAGAGAAGCAGCATAACCCTGTAAGTGCACTGGGAGCCTTGGAATTGCAAGTGTTGCTTCTTTATCAGAATCAAAAAACATCAAAGTTGGAGTTCCCAGATGGGGGGATATCAGGAAGTCAAGTTTCATGTATGGTATTTGTGAATTTTTAAAAATATTTTTGCTGGGATGTTATATAACTTATTTAAAATGTGCTCTCCACTGATGCAGTTTTTATTTCCTATAAAAATTGGTCCTTCAACTATGTTTCCTAAGCTCTAGGAAAGTCCTGTGGTGGTCTTGATAAGGATGATGAGGGGATGACAGAAGCCAGAGCATCATGAACTGTCACTCAGGGCTTCCCAGGCTCAGGGGCTGAGGAACAGATTCTGTGTTATCTGACTCACTTCTTGTGTGTCCTACTCTGATAATGCATGCCTCATTTGTTATTCTTTTACAATAAAAAAAGAACTTTATAATTATGCAACTTCTTCTTGTTTCCTAGGTGTCAGCAGCCTGGTTGCATTGGGCTGTCTGACCATGGACACAGGGCATCACAGGAGAATCCTTGCAGTCTTTCCCATCTGCAAGATGGGACAGCCTGTCCTGAAGAAAAAGAGCCTTGCCCATGGTACACTTCCTGTAGGATTCCTGGGGAGTCACAGGGCAGAGCAGTGGGGGCACTTGGTTCATATACTATGGAGGAACAGCCACAGGTCCCTTGAGAGATTATAGTAAGAGAGGCTCATGATCATTCAGCATAAATCATGCTCCTGGCCTCCCTCCATAACCTCCTTGAGCTCACCACATGATCTTCCATGAAACCTAACATTAGGTTTCCTCTGAGATTGAGAGGGCATGAAAACAGCCTTCTTAATCTCAGAGGAAAACTAATTTTAGGTCTTGATTTCAATCCCACTGAAAAAAATTGGAAAGTGTTACAAAATGTACCTGAGATTTACCAGTGGTTAAGATCTATGGACTAAGGCTGAAAACTGTTAAGTGGGAAAGTAAAAAAAAAAAAATCTTTGATTGATCCATTTTAGAGTCTGTCAGTTCCAATCTCTATGTCTGTACGGTAGTCCCTAGTTTCATGGGGGTCTAGAGTCAGCCTTGCCATCTGAGTTGATTTCCCACTGATGCAACTGCAATGAGTAAAGATAAATAGATACTTGGTGCTATTCTCTGTATAATATGAGATGTGTCAATAAAATCTGGGCAAAAATATTCTAGAGATTATTGTTACTGTTAGCATGACTAGGTTGATCTTCATGCCACTCATGCAACTAATGTATTCAGTGTTCTGAAGTGACCGGTCCTATTTCTGGATGGGACACTTTATTTTTTCCCTTACAGATACATGTGCTTTGCATTTTAGAACAGTTTCCTTTTTCCTATTTCTTACACCTCAGGATCCATGCTCTGCTTGGCACAGGAGATGTCTAGAGCAGGTCTGTTGGACATTAAACCCACCCATCCTTTCTGTCCTAAATTGGCCAAATGAATATGGATGATCAAACTTGTGGCCTTCTGTCTGAACATTCATTCCTTTTAGCAGTGCCCATGGAAGTTAAAATAGTGTCTTTCTGGGTCCATGTTTTGGACATAGGGACTATTTAGTTTTATTTAGTGTCATCCACAGTAGAAAGTTTCAGAAATCATGATGGAAATCTTCGTGGATTTGAATAATGGCAATGAGGCAGAATCTGAAGGGCACTTAACACTGCCGCCTTTCATGAGGCACAGGTCAGAGTTACACCTCATTCCAGCCTCCAGTGCCCTTGACCATGGCTTTCCTCTGTAATGCTGATAGTTACCTAATCATGGAATATTTTTATTGAAATAATAGTGACCAAATATTTCTTGAGTTCCACGTTTTCCTTTTATGCAGCACATGTTGTGGAGATGGTGTTATAATCTGTGTTTCCCTTAAGCAGTGAGCAGGGAGAGGAGGAGAGATTCACACACTGTGCACACACTGGCAGGTGGGATGTGGGTCTGAAATGCTGCCTTCCTGACTCAAGCCCAGGGCACCAGCTCTTCCGCTGCAGCCAGAGTGAAACAGTGTTCCCTGCACAAGTTGAAATTTCTTCAGGAATCTTCAAGGACAGCATATTACTACTCGGGCTGAGGCTTCATTTTCCTGATAAATATTAGGATTGAGACGATGCAGGTGATATTGTCTGCTCTTATACGGACACAAATGTAGGTCATTAATAGCAAATTTCAACATGCATTTTTTTCATTGGAAATCAGTCTTATATCCCCAACCAAGATGTTATGGAACATTCTTTTTTTTTTTTTAATATGGAACACTTCATGAATTTGCATGTCATCCTTGAGCAGGGGCCATGCTAATCTTGTCTGTATCATTACAATTTAATATATGTGTTGCCAAAGCAAGCATATTTTTATCTGAGTGACAAATCAATTGGCAGAAGGGTTTTGAAATCATTGCCATATTAATAAATTCTCCAACTAAATGACAGTGTCCTTTCTTCAGGTAGCATTTAGCATTAGATTAAAACTGAAGAAGAAGAATGTACTTCACAGAGGAATTATCACCTCAGGTTAATGTAAACTTGTATATTTTCATGGGCAATAGGCATTGTTTTGCGGAATACTTAGATGAGTATTTTTAGGTACTTTTAAAGCAATTTTGTAAAGGAAAATGTATGATAGATAACACTGAAATGAAAATACCAACAGAAAATTACACCTCCCCTTTCATGACAATAGATGTATCTGGGAGACAGGTTTGCAAGAGACTGGAATCAGGCAGAGATACAAGGACTCAAATCTCTTATATAATGATTCAGATCCTTTGCCAATGTTAGTCCTGGCACAAGTATTATTGGATTAATGTATTTTAATATAGGTAATGGGTATTATGGAAAATAAGAGTAGATAATATTCATGGAGCATGTTCTATGTCAGGATGTTGTTAGACAATGGATATCAGATTTGGTATAAGAAAGGACCATGGAGAACTTCACATGTGGACAATTGGTGTTGGTCTGACATCACTGTGTATAGATATTCTAAAATATACACAGGGACACTTAATAGTGGGAGAGAATTACAAGTTATGCAGTTGTAAAGATTTGTTAAAATAATTTCCTGATGAGAACCATACAAGGTTGGGAATTATTACCCCACTTTACAGATGAGGAAGTTTTGAAGAAGTTGTTTTATTATTTCTTATTATACTCTGTTTTGTGCTGTATCCAGTTCAATCATGGTGAAAAATAAAAATGAACCCAAGTGTACTTCATGTAGCCTAAATAAGAGAATTGAAATGAAGGTGTCAGGAATGACTGACCAGAAAATCCATGAAAAAATAAGAAGATTGGAAATAAAACTTGAGTTTAAGGGCTTTCCTTTTTCTTAGATCATAAAAAAATATACTTCAATGATTGATCATAAAACCATGAAGCAGTTTTGGCAGGCTAGAGGAAGTACAGGATCAAGAAAAAAAAGTTAAGGGTCATTTTATAGAACAGATACTTTGCTGATATTGTATTCGTTGACACAATAAACCTGCATGAAATAAAACTATTCAAAGGAGATTTTACAGTCTAGGATTTAAATATAATTGACAGGTACACTGCACACCAGTGCCACATTTGTGGTTAATGCTATTATTGATTACGTGCACTGACTCAATCTTGTTTATCAAAATCTGAAGTTTATCATAGGCAAGGTTTCTTATTTCTTGTTATATAATTTTTAAAGTGAAGACTTAAATGCACAAAGGAGGCAAATGAGAAGATCAAAGAATGATGAGACCCTTGCCGAAAATAGAGCATACTTCTTTCTGGTTATGATGCATCCCCCTTGATTTAGTTGTCAGGAAAAGCAGTCATTACATAGTCACAAATGTCTGGTCAAAGGAATTTGTTCCAAGGCCTTAGAACTAAATGAGTTATATTAACTGCTTCCTAATTTCTCTTACAGGAAGTCATTACCTATTTCCTTTTTTTATTAAAGAGTAAGCTATACTCCATTGTGATCATGAACTTCTTCTCTCCTCTGCTCCTGGATTTCTAAATTTTCTTATGAAAATGCTGCAAATGTAAGTATGGAAAGAGAGTGAATTATGGAGAAAGAATGAAAGAGTATGTAGAGTCTGGGAGTCTCACTACTGACAACTGTTGTTGAAGGTGTATGGACCTAAAGTGTGAGCAGCTTCCTTGTACATACTTAATTTCAAATGCTTACAGAATAAGGGGTGCCTGTTTATGTATTTTTTTTTGTAACACCTGCTTTGTTTTTTTTAAAGGTGTCCATAGAGTATACTAGCACAAAACGTAAACTGTAACCCGTGTCTCTGAATTCCAACTCCTGAGCCTCTCAGAGGACCCAGACCTGCAGCCCGTGCTTTTTGGACTTTTCCGGTCCATGTACCTGGTCGTATTGCTTGGGAACCTACTCATCATCCTGGCCATCACCTCTGACCCCCACCTCCACACCCCCATGTACTTCTTCCTCTCCAACCTGTCCTTGGCTGACATTGGTGTCATCTCCACCATGGTCACAAACATGATTGTAAACATTCAAACTCATAATGAACTTATCTCCTATGAAGGATGCTTGACACAGATGTCTCTTTTTCTCATTTTTATTTGTATGGATTATATGCTTCTGACTGTGATGGCCTATGACAGGTTTGTGGCCATCTGTCACCCCCTGCATTATCCAGTAATTATGAACCCTCATCTCTGTGGCTTCTCAATTTTGGTGTTATTTTTGCTGAGTCTCTTGGACTCTCAGCTGCATAATTTGATGATCTTACAAATTACCAACTTCAAGAATGTTGAAATTTCTACTTTCCTCTGTGACCCTTCTCTACTTCTGAATCTTTCGTGCACTGACACCTACTCTAATAACATTGACAAGTATTTTCTTGTTGCTGTATATGGTCTTTTTCCCATCTCAGGAATCCTTTTCTCTTACTATAAAAATATGTCCTCTCTTGTGAGAATCCCCTCTTTAGGTGGGAAGTACAAAGCCTTCTCCACCTGTGGCTCTCACCTGGCAGGTGTTTGCTTATTTTTAGGAACAGGTACTGCAGTGTACCTTGGTTCAGCTGTATCACATTCTCCCAGAAAGCATGCGGTGGATTCTGTGATGTACACTGTGGTCACCCCCATGCTGAACCCCTTCATCTACAGCCTGGGGAACAGGGATATTAAAAGGGCCTTGAGGAGGCTGCAGAGGTTGACAGTCTGATCTTTGTCCATGTGGGGTCTGGTTGCAATGTGTGTGGGAAAATGCAGTAAAGCTAAATACCTGGCCCTGTCAATATGCCCCTTATGTGTTATTGTCCCATGGAGTTCCATAGTAGAATGGTGCAGACTATGTTGGGTGGCAAATTTGGGAAGTGTTCCTACTGGGAACAAGGATTCATATTTGTACTATGAAGAATGTTGGAGATGGATGGTGGTTATTGTATCACAACAAAGTTTATATTTAATGCCATTAAACTATGCTATTGATGATGGCGATAATGGCAAATATTTATAATTTTACAGTGCCATAATGAAAATGTTCTTGGGAAGCTACTATGTTTAAAAAATAAAGAATCCAATAGTGAAAATGGACTTTTTTTCACAAAGAATTACTGAAACACATCAGTTGATGTTCATTTTCTACCCTTATTCTTCCACCATTGCTGTTAGGTAGTCCTTAGTTTATGATATGCTCATCTATTGGCCAGTCAGGAGTTCCATGCTTTGAGCCTCCAAGGTCACACAATAGTCAATGGGCAGCCTGTGCCTCCAGCATTTCAGCTTGATGGTTCCCATCAGGTGGGCCCCACACTGTGTTTCTGCTCACCCTGGTTGTGTCTAGGAAGTCCATACCTGAGTGTGCACACATGTCAGCCCTAAAGATGAGGTGGGAGGTGACTGGGTATCCACTCTCCTTAGTCAGGTGGAATCCACTCTCCTTAGTCACGACCACCTGAGCCAGTGTAAATAGGTAACTGCTGAGGGAGGTGAGGATGGAGGAAGGACCAACATGCAGTGTGGCTGCCCAGAGGGGAGAGCACTACACAGTGTCAGTCATGGGGACTGAGAGTCAAGGCACGTGTGTGACATCCACAGTGGTGGTGAGCATGGCGGCAATGTCACTACAGTTTTCCTTTCCTCCCACACTGGTCCTTCTTAGCACACACTGTCATCCACATGGAGGGAATGTGTTCTTCACACTGTCCTCAGCACTGAGAGATGTCTATGTAGGTGAGGAGGAGGAGGTGGACCTGGATGAGGACAGCACACAAACATATGTTCCTTCAATGAGAGATCCCTGAGTGCCTGAAGTGTGAGCTATTTGTAGATTGTTTAAATTTGTCTGAAAATCTTCCCCAAGGTGTAAGTGCCATGATATTTTATTTCACAGAATCGAGAGGATTAGAGTTTTTAGTAATTTGTGCTAGGTGTTTAGATCAACTAACTGAGGCTATGTTTGAAATGTACTGTGGGTTTGAGGCACGTGGCATCTTGGCAGGATAGTGCTGGCAGGTTATTCCCTCCATAATACACTTGTGTTTTACATAATTATCAGTCTAGGAGATGGCCCTGTTTTTCTGTGTATTCTCTGTGGATGCCAGTCAGAGCAGCCAGTGGCATCAATTGCACCAGCTATGGAAGAATGGCTGATATAAGACAAAGATCTAAAGTCAAGTGGGCACAGATACTGCAACACTGACCTCCTTGTGTCCCCCTGTCTGGGATACCCTTGCAGCTTCCACATCCTCCTGCATGCTGATAATCAGCTCACTCAATTTAAAGAGGAGACCAAAAGCAGATCAGGATTTCATTACTCCTCATGGACTTGTAAAGGATTAAGACTGTATTCAATTTTAAAATGCAACATCCCTTCCCTATAGCCCTCAATAAATACCAGTTCTCCTGACCTGTCTCTTTCCTTTTCTTTTTTTAATTCTTTGAATTTACAAGAAGGAATAGGTAGGTCTAAGTCATCATCTGAGATAGGTGGACTATATGGTAGATGCTTGGAATTTGAATTGCACTCTTTTCTTTTTTTTTCCACCTTTCTTTCCTCCTTTCTTTTTTGTGTTGTTTAAAGTACAGCCAGATCATTTTGGCCCAAAATTAGAATACTAAATTCAGCCTTTGTGATGCAGACAGAAAAATCATAGGTTTGGTATAGTTTCATGGTAGTGAAAATCAAGCCCCAGAAGCTAAAATGATTCAAAGCAAAATTCTTCCCGACAACTTTTGTCATGTCTGTGTGTGTGGGGGAAGGGGGGTGAAAAGCAGTTAAACAAATACTGTAGACTACATAATTATTTTACCATGTAAATATGATAGAATTGCAAGCTTTTGGGGGGTGGGGTTTAAAATTACAAGTTTACTGTAATTATAGTCTTGCTAAGTTTGATTTTATAGACCAGCAAAACTCAAGTTTGATTTAAACCACACAGAGAGACATGAAGCATATTGGAAATGTTCTTTTTCTTTCTGACTCAAATGGCTGATCTTATTTCTTTCTAGTGATCACCCTAGAAGTGAACCTTTTATTATGGTTATTGCTAAAGTTTTGTGTCTTGGTAATTAAGTTTCCCATCCTAGAAGGCTTGCTACCAAAGCAGTTTGAGATTATCTTTTTTCCCCAAAGGCATAGACAGAGATTTATTTAGGAATTGGATGCACATTCAAGGGAGAATGTGGGCTATCTTGAGAATGAGAAACCTTTGGAATAAAGCAAGGGATACACATTTAAGGGACAATGAGTGCGAGAGAGAGAGAGAGAGAGAGAGAGAGAGAGAGAGAGAGAGAGAGAGAGAGAATATTATTATCTTTTTATTTCCCCTTAAATACCTTCAAACTTCTAAATTCCTTCAAACTTCTCTTGGAGACAAGAGAGTGCATCACAGTCTTCACTGGATCAGGTTGGTAAATTCTGCTAAATATCTGGTCAGTTAAACCCAGGGTGGAATGGGGTCAAATTAGATGCCTGATATGAAGATAAGGGAATTGGTTTATCATACGTTTACATTTAAACCTTTAATGTGGATATCCACAAATCACAGAATTTGTTGGAATATGCCACAGGATAAAAGACTCCGGGATGTCTGAGGTCCAGAAAAGCTGGAAGGAGGGTCCCAGGTGTATGGGGTGATTAGCTTGAGAGAAGGGTGATGCATTTTGCAGTCAGTTCCAGCTATATAGGGTTGCCTGCATCTAAGACCTATGGATTCTGCTGAAAACACTCTGATTTTTGAAAAACAGTGGAGAGATTAGTGCATCAGATCCAGAGACTTAAAATTTAATTTTAGCTTCTGCTGTCTCAGCTGGTTCTTTTTTGAATACCTGACAGGTTGTTAGTGTCTATGATTCTCAGCAAAGTCATCCAAGGTGGTTTATAGCTGATATAATGCCACTGAATCCACATTAAACCGAAAATGTGTATTTCCTATGTGAATGATATTTGATGAAGGTGCAAAATATGGACAAAATGTTAGATAGTTATTATTCATATGAAAAGGCTAAACTTCCTACTATTCAAGTGAAATGTTTTTTGACATGAAATTATTATTTTGATATTTCTATAATGTTATATTTTCATACTCCCCTTAGTTAAGTACATGCTGTATATCTGGGGTGGAATGATCAACTGTCTTTCTTTTCTGTACCCAAGAACCTACACTATTTTAGGCACAGAGGATATATATATATTATATATATATATATATATATATATATATATATATATATATATTCTGTTATATATATTCTATTATATATTATATTTATGTTATATATTATATTTATGTTATATATTATATTTATGTTATATATTATATAATATATATATATATATATATATATATATATATCATCAAAACGTGTTAAGTATTGAATAGGCCATTGCTCTACAAACAGGTTGGCTTTGCTCAGTGGTCTTCAACACATGGGTGCTCTCCTGTATGTTCCTTCATTCTACTCAGGAATGTCCCCCAGAGTCAGAGGCAAGATTGAGCAGCTCCTGTTTGTGTTTCCCTTACACAGGGCCCATACCTCCCTTTGTGAACATCTACAACCTTCAACAATGGTAGAGGTGTCCATGAGCCTTAGGAAAACCAAAGTAACAACAAAGGGAAGTGACAGGAGACTCTTAAAACTTGGTCTGAGATACTCTTGAGAGTTTCACATTGTTCTAACTACAATGTCCTTTGACAGTTTTGTTTATCATTAGACCCACTACATAACTGAAGACTGAATGTTTAATAAAAAAAAAACAAACATAAAAACCATAATGACCAAGTAAATACCACTTAAGTGTAGACTTATTCATGTTCCCAGAGCAAATTTTTGTTATTTATATATTATCCTAATAAGAATGGATGTTTAATATGTATCTTTAAAAATGTAGAAGTGAACAAAGTAAATTGGACATACAGCTTAGCTCCTCATTAGTGTTAGGGTACAAAACTCATGTGGACATACATTTTCTTTGTATTCCCCATTAGTGATGGGAACCCCTTGGAGATGGGTATTTCATGGACCAATTAGTTTAATTATGAGCTCTGTTAATTGATCTTCCAAGGTCATATCACAGTTCATAATCAACCTGTGCCTGCTGCCCTTCCATTGATGGTTCTTGTCCAGTGAGCTGCATGGCTGTGCCTCCTCCTGGATGTCTGCATCAGGAAGCTACTGAACACACGATCTGTTCCTCTGGTCACAGTTGATCCTTCCCTGGGCTCCATGCTTGGTAGGGTCTCAGGATCAGCACTTCTTGGTCATGACCCTGCAGGGAGGTAGTGTGACCCAGTAAGTGCAGAGTGGGCCATGGAAGTGGGAAGGACTGGGGAAGTAGTGTTACCTCAGCATAAGGACAAACACCACAGAGTTGTCAGATGGGAGGACCCCAGCATGCAGCTTCAACCTTGGGGTTGTGGGGTTCAACCTTTTTTTCAGGGGGGGAGATGAGAAATCTTATTCAAACTGAGCTCTCCACCCACAGTGGTTCTAATTCACACAGAAATCTCACCCACAACTGCACAAAATAAGTCCTTCAGAAGTGTCTCCTAAGCTCTAGGAAAGGACTATGTAGTGATTGATGATAAGGATGATTAAGGGGATGACAGGAGACAATATCATGAACTGATGTGCCGGGTTTCCCTGGCGCCTACTGCATACACCATGTAAGAACAGTCATAGGTCACAGGAGAGGTCAGAGTCAGCACAGATCAGGCTCTT